TGAAGAATTTCTCCCTAACATCTAATCTAAAACTATCTTCTTCCAGTTTAAAGCCATTTCCCCTTGCCCTGTCACTACCTGCCCTTGTAAAAAGTCCCTCCCCAGCCTTCCTGGAGCGCCTTCAGGTACTGGAAGGCCGCTATAAGGTCTCCCCAAAGCCTTCTCTTTTCCAGGCTGAACAGCCCCAACTCTTTCAGCCCATCCTCATAGCAGAGGTGCTCCAGCTCTCAGATCATCCTCGTGGCATCCTCTGAACTTGCTCCAGTAGGTCCATGTCCTTTTTATGCTGGGGGCCACAGAATTTGATGCAGTACTCCAGGTGGGGTCTCACAAGAATGGAGTAGAGGGGCAGAATCAACTGCCTTGACCTGTTGGCCACACTTCTCTTGATGCAGCCCAGGATATGGTTGGCCTTCTGGGGTGTGAGCCTCATGTTGAGCTTCTCATCCACCAGCACTCCCAATCCTTCTCCTCAGGGCTGCTCTTGATCCATTCTCCTTCCAGCCTCTATTTGTGCTTGAGATTGCCCCAACCCAGGTGCAGGACCTTGCACTTGGCCTTGTTGAACTTCATGAAGTTTGCATCAGCCCACCTCTCAAGCTTGTCAGGGTCCCTCTGTATGGCATCCCATCCCTCCAGCGTGTCAACTGCACCACACAGCTTGGTGTCGTTGGCAAACTTGCTGAGGGTGCACTCAATCCCACTGTCCATGTCTCTGGCAAAGACGTTAAGCAGTGCCAGTCCCAATATCGACCCCACTCATCACCAGTCACTTGGACATTGAGCCGTTGCCCACAACTCTTTGAATGCAACCATCCAGCCAATTCCTTATCCACTGAGTGGTCCATCCATCCTGTCCATCTCTCTCCAACTTAAGAGACAAGGACGTTGTGCAGGACAGTCAAATGCCTTGCACAAGTCCAGGTTGATGACATCACTTGCTCTTCCCTTATCCACCAATGCTATAGAAGGTCTGGTCAGGCACAATTTGGCCTTACTGAAGCCATGCTGGCTGTCACCAATTACCTCCTCATTGTTCATCTAGGCAGAGCAAAAGAGGGCTTTCTGGAAGAAGACGGCAGCAGATCAGGAAGGAAACTTGAAAGAGCTCACAAAGGGGCTATTAAAGCTCCTGCTCAGGAAGCCTTTGTGGTGGCTGTTGCTCCTCTTCCTCACTGCTAGCTGGATCACCTTTGGTTCTATTGCTTCTGCGTTCAGGAGGGCTCAGGCGACCCACCCTTGAACTGAGAAGATGGTCATTGTTGGAGAACCGTGTCAGAAACTGTGTTGGTGCTGAGTGAGCTTTTTTTTTTTTATTAGTATTTGACTAATAAGGCCTTTTTCTTAATATTGCACATGTCACCAGACAAGCTCTTTCTCATTTTGTTCCTAGCCAGAAAGACATTTTTCACTTGATGTAACTTTACCTAGATACCATATTTCCTATGGTGACTACTTTGCAACAGTAAATACACCGTCTCAAAGCAAGGTGCATTCTCATGTTCCGTTTGGGATCTCCTACAGCTCACTGCATATCTTTCCTCTGAGGCTACAGGTGGCAGAATGGGTTGAAAAGCTCCTTCCTAGGGATGGTAGAAGACAAAACACTTGAGGTCTTAAGTCTGAGGGAGGTGAAAGCTTGCAGCGGCACGGTTCTGCCTCTTGAAGTTATTGTGGGCATTTAAAGCACCAGTGTTGTTGTTATGCTAAACAGGTGAACAAGTAATGACGTGATGAAAAGGGTTGTGGGTAGTCATATGCTATAATAATGTTACCAGGTAAGCTGTCTGCAAGGGTTAGCTTGGAGGTTTATGAGCTACCTCTTGGTTTAGCGGCTAGAGATTACTTCCTAGGACATATGTATTTAACTATAAAGAACTTCCTTCTCACTCTGTGTTTTCAAGTTAGATTGATCCTCAGTCTCAGGATGTGTTTTATTTCTGCAGTCTAAACAGTCAGTTGTCCATCTCCCATTAGAATGACACACTTCCATGGCTAACTAGTCCTAGTAGTATTTATAATTAACGAGCAATGTGGAACCATAGTGACATTACAGAGAGAGGTATTGCTTCTCAAAGGCAGAAGGCATAAAATGGCATGCAAGAAACAGTAAATCAACAGTGATCAAAAAAGTTGGAGTATTTCACAGCATGATCCTTTAACTTGCTAGTCCTAAACTAAAGATTTTAGGGAGGTGTTGTGGTTTAACCCTGGCCTGCAACTCAGATCCTCATAGCTGCTTGCTCACCCTCTGACCCAGTGGGATGGAGGAGAGAACTGGAAGGGTAAAAGTGAGAAAACTCATGGGTTGAGATAAAGACAGCTTAATAATTAAAAAAAGGATGGAGAAAAAAACAACAAAGGGGGCAGGGGGAAAACAAACCAAATCAAACCAAAGAAAACAAGTGATGCAACAAAAACAATTGATCACCACCAACCAACCAATGCCCAGCCAGTCCCTGAGCAACAGTAGCCCCGGCAAACTGCCACTCAGTTTTTATTGCTGAGCATGACTTGACCTGTTCAGTCTGACCTCTTTGGTCAGTCGGGGTCAGCTGTCCCAGCTGTGTCCCCTCCTAACTCCTTGTGCACCCCCAGCCTCCTCGCTGATGGAGTGGTGTGAGAAGCAGAAAAGGCCTGGACTCGGTGTAAGCACTGCTCAGCAATAAAACATGTTACCAACGCTGCTTTCATTCACAGATCCAGCTCATAGCCCCATACCAGCTACTACAAAAACAAGTACAAAAAGATGCAATATATTATTAATTTTTAGATTAATTTTAATGTAATTTTCATAGCAGCTTTAGGGACTTCTGTTACCCATGGATAATCATGAATTATTCTGCACATGTGACATAGGAAAGGTTTGTTAAAAAGCAAGATATATTCCAGCAACAATTTAGA